TCTCTGCTGTGTGCTCAATGGTTACTTAACACCGTCTCTTTCTAAATGAATGGCCCTTGTCATGTTTTCTGTCTTCTCACGGCTTTCAGGGCCTGAGAACCTTGGGGTTCTATAGGCTATGTGGCCCTCACCCAGCCGCTTCAAAACCAGCCTCTGCACGTGTGTGCACACGTAAGAAACACATACATACATAGGCACACACATAGCACGCACACATATGCACAGACTATAAATCCACGCACACATCCACAACACACATCCACACAGTACACACACATCCACATACATACACATCCACACAGTACACACACATCCACAGAGATAATACACCCATGCTCATGCTCACAGACACACGCACACAATACACACATCCACACAGTACACACACATCCACACAGTACACATCCACACACATACACATCCACAGAGATAATACACGCATGCGTGCACTCACTACACACATCATGCACACACAACCACGTAATCCACATCCATGCACACATCCATATACAGACAATACACCCATGCTCATGCTCACACAGACACACACACAACACACACATCCACAACACACACATCCACACACATACACATCCACAGAGATAATACACACATGCTCATGCTCACACAGACACGCACACATGCACACAACACACACATCCACACAGTACACATCCACACACGCTCATTCACGTGCGCACACATATGCACACAGATAATACACTCACGCACCTATTCCCACCATGCATAGCACATACACATCACATACACACTTCATTCTCCTTTATGGGGGCTGATGAACTGCTTGAGAACTGATCTTTTGTTCTTGGGAGGCAGGAGATGTATCTGATAGGTCGCATGTCTAGGAGCCCTGGAAGGAATTGGTTCTGTGCCCACTGTCACCCCGGTCTGCTCCAATGGCCTGTCCTGCGCAGGTCCCAGTGTCGCGCCCCCACTCGCGGAGGAACGACACCGGAGGCTGTTTCCTTTCCCCCGTCCTTCCAAGATTTGCTGCCACTCCCCAGCCTCCGCGGAGGAGCGGCACCAACGAGCTCTCTGACCCACTCTCTCAGGGGCCCCGCATGGTGGCTCTCTCCCCCTTTCATAGTCCTCTCCCACCAATCCGTGCTCTGCCGGCGGTCTCGCTCCACGCGCTGAGCACGCTGCTCTCCTCCAATCAGAGGTTGGATCAGGAATCAGCTAATTGACGAAGCAGCTGTGTAAGCTTTGCTTCCTCCCTCTCAGCGCCATGTTGTGGGAGCCGGGCCCTGCTCCCCACACCCAGCCCCTGGGGGGACAAGGGAAAGCGGGTGTGTGGAGGCTGGAGTGTCCAGAGGGTCGGGAAGGACTGACGGGCGGAGCCCAGGCTGCAGGTGCTCCGAGCAGGGCCAGGGACCGGGAGCTCAGGGGCAGGCTGGGGGTGGAAGCCAGCCAGGGCGGAACCCCCTGAGGTGTAATTAATGGGGGCTTCTCCTCCATGGACCTCTGGAAGTTGTTAAACTTCCTCCCTCGAGGAACGCCACCCTCTTGGGCTTCCTCAGCCTCTCAGTCAAGTCTCACACAGCCAGCCCCCCGCAGGGGGTGCAGAGGGAAGGGGCTGACAGCGGCAGGGAGATGAGCCGTGGGCCCTGCTCTCTGCCCTCCGCCTGGGCAAGCAAAGCTCACGTGGCCCCAGCAGTGCACAGCATGGATGCCGCCTTCCTCTTTATTAACATTTATAGCAAGGGAGGAAGACACACACACACACACAGAGAGAGAGAGAGAGAGAGAGAGAGAGGTCTTCCATCCACTGGTTCACTCTCCAAATGGCCACAATGGCTGGAGTTGGGCTGCTCTGAAGTAGGACCCATGAGCTCCGTCTGGGTCTCCCACGTGGGCGCAGGGGCCCAAGCACTTGGGCAGCTGCTGCTGCTTTCTCGGGTGAGTTAGTAAGGAGCTGGGTTGGAAGTGGAAGAGCTGGGACTCCGGCCAGTGCCCACGCAGGATGCTGGCTCTGCAGGCCGGGGCTTTAACTGCTGTGCCGCAGCGCCGGCCCCTCTCCCTTGTTTCCTACAGAAAACCACTCCTTTTGCTCTGTCAGAGCTGTGTGCCCTCTGTAACATCTTTGGCTGTGATCATCTAGTTTTCTCAATAATTTTGTTAATGTCTTGTGCAATTTGAGAATGTCAGGAGTATGACATTAAATTGTGGATTGGTGGGGTTTACACCACAGCTGATCCACCTGTGAAGGCACTCGGTATCCTCTCAAAGACTTGCAATCAAATCTGTGGCTGGGAAGCCACTGGAGCTACTTTTTTTTTTTTTTTTTTTGGACAGGCAGAGTTAGACAGTGAGAAAGACAGAGAGAAAGGTCTTCCTTCTGTTGGTTCACTCCCCAAATGGCCGCCACGGCCGGCCCTGCGCCAATCTGAAGCCAGGAGCCAGGTGCTTCCTCCTGGTCTCCCATGCCGGTGCAAGGCCCAGGCGCTTGGGCCATCCTCCACTGCCCTCCCGGGCCACAGCAGAGAGCTGGCCTGGAAGAGGAGCCACCGGGACAGAACCAGCGCCAGGCCGGCGCCACGGCTCACTAGGCTAATCCTCCGCCTGTGGCGCCGGCACACCGGGTTCTAGTCCTGGTCGGGGCGCCGGATTCTGTCCCGGTTGCCCCTCTTCCAGGCCATCTCTCTGCTGTGGCCAGGGAGTGCAGTGGAGGATGGCCCAAGTGCTTGGGCCCTGTATCCCATGGGAGACCAGGAGAAGCACCTGGCTCCTGCCATCGGATCAGAGCGGTGCGCCGGCTGCAGCACATCGACCGCGGCGGCCATTGGAGGGTGAACCAACGGCAAAAGGAAGACCTTTCTCTCTGTATCTCTCTCTCACTGTCCACTCTGCCTGTCAAAAAAAAAAAAAAAAAAAAAAAAAAAAAGCGCCAGCGCCCCAACTGAGACTAGAACCCCGAGTGCCGGTGCTGCAGGCGGAGGATTAGCCAAGTGAGCCACAGTGCTGGCCCACAGAATGGCAATGCTGGTTTTATATTTTTGCTATGTATATGAAGAATTGTGTACAAATTGAAATGTCTGTATATTGATTCTCAGCACCAATAAATTTCAATTATGAACAAAAAACCCACTGATCACTGGAGGAAAGCTAATTAAGCCATAACGAGACACCATAGCCACCATAGCCACCATAGACACCATAGCCACCATAGCCACCTAGCACACTCACTGTTACAACTAAAGGTAGACTGGCAATACCAGATGTCGGCAGGGACAGCAAACACCTGGACTTTTCTCCCCCTAAAGGTTTACTTATTTATATATATATATATATATATATATAGAGAGAGAGAGAGAGAGAGAGAGAGAGAGGGGTATCTTCCATCCACTGGTTCACTCCCCAGATGGCTGCAATAGACAGCGCTGGGCCAGGTCAAAGCCAGGAGCCAGGGTTTTGTCTGGGTCTCCCGGGCGGGCGGCAGGGGTCCAAGCACTTGGGCCATCTTCTGCTGCTTTTTCCAGGCTGTTAGCAGGGAGCTGGATTGGAAGAGGAGCAGCCAGTGCACAAACCAGCACCCACATGGTGGGCAGCACCGCAGGCCACTGCGCAGCACCGGCCCCACCACTGGGCATTTCCTATACAAGTGGTGTGAAGGGGTACAGGCGCAGCCACTTTGAAAACAAGGGCAGGCGTGGGTGTTCAGCCCGGTGGTCAGGGAGCCTGTGTCCCATGTCGGGGAACCCGGGCTTGAGTCCTGCCCCGGCCCCAGCTTTCCGCTAAGGCAGATCCTCAGACCTCGGTGATGACTCAGTCATTTGATTCCTGCCACCCACACTGTGTCCCCAGCTCCCAGCTTCGACCTCAACCCAGCTCCGGCTGTTTCGGGCATTTGGGGAGTGAATTAGAGGATAGATGCTATTCCATCTCTCCAGTAAGTAAAAGATTTTAAAAAACATGATATAAAACCTATTCTTCCAGTTCAAGAGAAATGAACATTTATATTGATGCGAAGACTTGTATGTGAAGTCATAGCAGCCTTATTCATTAACAACCAAAAACTGAAAGCAATTCAAATGTTCATCCTCCGGTTAGTGGACAAAGTGCTATGAGTTATGAAGTACAACTCAGTCACAAGAAGGCATGGTGCAGGAATATATGTAAGAACACGGATACATTTCAAGAACATTATAAGAAAAGGAGTAAAATCCAAAAAAGACTATGCAACTTATAATTCCATTTAAATGAAACTCTGGAAAATGCAAAATTATGACAGAAACCAGTTGCTTGGGGTTGGGGGTCAAGGAGTTGAACTGCACATGAGCAGGAAGAAATGTTTTCAGGGGTCAAGGGCTGTTTCTTTTTTTGATTGTGGTAGTGGTAACATTATTTAAAAAACTATCAAAAATTTATATATGTAAATAATTATGTATGCAAGTAAATAATAATCAAATATACATGTTAGGGAAAAATCTCCACAAAATGGGAAATGTCTGGCAAATCAATGATAAAAACAGAATCTTGAAGGCAACCAGAAGCATAACAGAAAAACGGGAATAAGAATGACGGCAGACTTCTATCCAGAAACCATGGAAGCCAAAAGCCAACGCAGCATGTGCTGAAGGCACAGAGTCAAAGAAGAAACCGCCAGCCCAGAATCCTGCGCTGCTGGGCCATTCCTGGAGAGAATCCTCAGAGTGGCTGCAGGGGGCCGGCAGGGAGAAGCTCGGAGACGCGGGAGGGCGTGTGAAGGCTCCACGGGCCCGCCCTGGGTGGACAGTCTGGGTGACTGCTCCCCACTGGGGGACTGTCCACCCAGACTTCCAGACAAGCAAACACAGGCGCACTCATTGCCAGCGGAGCCGTGCAAAGAGAAATATGAGACGGGGTTCTCCCAATGACACTGCCCTGCTTATTAATATTTTTCAATATTAATAATTTTTCAATATTAATAAGCTGTGGGCTCTTGCCCTATGTTCAGAGAAGAATTCTGAATATGGGCTCAAATAGACCAGACAACAGGGTAAGTTTTAAGGATTTTATTCAGTGAGAGAAATGTGCAGGAGGGTGAGGGCTTCATTTCGGAAAGCAGACGTCTAGAGGCTAAGTTGTGTCCACAGCAAGCAGAGAGCAGGCCAGGAGCGAGCCCCGGGAACGGGCACGCGCCCCGAAGGCAACGGCCAACAAAGGAAGGGCCCAGCGAGCTCCGGGCTTTTTAGCCACTTCCAAAGGCGCGTGGTCACGTAGCCTGAGTGGCAGTGGGCGCACAGGTGGGGGCAGGAAGGGGTGAGCTCACAGGGGTGTGAAGACGTGGTCTTCCAGCTCGCCAACTAGCCGATTTTCTCCTGTCTGCCTGCCCACGTCACCAACAGCAGGCCACGATGCTTCCATCGAAAGGGCGCGGGGAAGCGGAAACCCGCACGAGCCTCACGGACACTTGCTGCCCCGGCACCGCGGAGACTTACAACCAATTTCCCAGGCTCCATCAGCACCCGGGGCCAGCCTGGCTGTGTCCATCAGCTTGCACGATCCCGCTTCTCCTGGGCCTCCGGCCGACGCGCACCTGCCGTTTCTGGCACACGGACACCAGGTGAAACTTTAAAAGATACATTATTCGGTCTCTTCATTCACTGGCTCACCCGCATACGCCCGCAATGGCTCCATCCGGGTCTCCCACGCGGACAGCAGGGACCCGGGCACCGGGCCGTCCCCTGCCGCCGCCCAAGGTGGACATCAGCAGGGAGCCGGACTGGAACCGGGCAGTCCCGCCCCGTGCCCGCCCCGGGGACGTGCAGGTGCACACGCAGAATGACAGACCAAGGTAGAGGCTCCACACAGACCCCGGCGCCCGCAGCCGCCGCGGGGCGAGCCCGGGGCCCCGTTCGCTGCCCACCTGCCCCGCGGGATGCGTGGCGGCGGCGGCAGAGTGGAGGTCTGAGGGAAAACCGGCCAAGGACCGCGCAGGACAGGGCACTGCCCGCCGCGCGGCTTTCGGGATAACCGCGTCCTGGCTCCGCCCACAAGCCAGAGCCGGCGAAAGCGCTCGGGAGCTGAGAGGCCCGGTGTGGAGCGCCTGCCTCGGACGGTCACCGCGGACGCGGCCCCGCCGCCGGCCGCTGGACAGACCCCGCTTCCCGGCGTCCCGCGCGCGGGCGTTCGTTGCCAAGGCCGCGCCGCCCTAGCGACCGGGCGCGCCGCGGCCTCCGCGCAGGCGCCGTGGCGGCCCCGGTGCACTGTGGGATGGGGACCCGCGCTGCGCGTCGCGGCGGCACCGGGCGGCGGGGCCGGCGGGGCCAGGGAGCCGGGCTGAGGCTCGGCCGGGCCGCCTGAGGGGCGCGGGCGGCCGGACGCGCGGCGGGCGGCGCCATGAACGCCGCGGTGGTGCGGCGGACGCAGGAGGCGCTGGGGAAGGTGATCCGGAGGCCGCCGCTGACGGAGAAGCTGCTCAACAAGCCCCCGTTCCGCTACCTGCACGACATCATCACGGAGGTGGGCGCCGCCGGGGCCCGGTGGCCGGGGGGGCCGAGACCCGGGCCTGCGTCGGGGCCGGGAGGCGGGGCGTGGGCGAGCCGCGGCGGCCCCTGCCGGGACCGCGGCCTGCGGCCCGGGGCGCCCTGTGCGGGGCGAGTGGGACCGCGCCTTCCCCGGTGCGGGGCCGGGCTGGGGCTGTGACCGCGCCGTCCCCGGTGCGGGGCGAGCCGTGACCGCGCCTTCCCCGGTGCGGGGCCCGGGCTGTGACCGCGCCTTCCCCGGTGCGGGGCCGGGCCGTGACCGCGCCTTCCCCGGTGCGGGGCCCGGGCTGTGACCGCGCCTTCCCCGGTGCGGGGCCCGGGCTGTGACCGCGCCTTCCCCGGTGCGGGGCCGGGCCGTGACCGCGCCGTCCCCGGTGCGGGGCCAGGACTGTGACCGCGCCTTCCCCGGTGCGGGGCCGAGCTGGGGCTGTGACCGCGCCTTCCCCGGTGCGGGGCCCGGGCTGTGACCGCGCCTTCCCCGGTGCGGGGCGAGCTGTGACCGCGCCTTCCCCGGTGCGGGGCCAGGACTGTGACCGCGCCTTCCCCGGTGCGGGGCCGGGCCGTGACCGCGCCTTCCCCGGTGCGGGGCCGGGACTGTGACCGCGCCTTCCCTGGTGCGGGGCCGGGCGGGGGCCATGACCGCGCCCTCCCCGGTGCGGGGCCGGGCTGGGGCCGTGAGCACGCCCTGCCCCGGGGCCCGTGGAGACCGGAGTCAGGGTGTTAGGATCCCGCGCTGCAGCCGCCAGGGGCGGAGCCCTGCGGGTGGCGGTTAGCGCTGCTCGGCCGGCCGCCTTCGAGTGAGGCTGGTGTGGGTGTGGGTGCGGGCTCGGTCCGGCCGCGGTGAGTTGAGCGCCCAGAAGTCCCCGGCGCAGGCTCACTGCTCAGGGAGTCTGGGATGGCTCCTGGCAACCATCAGGTGTGTGGCAGCGCGGGGGTGGGGCGGGGGTGGGGGTGCTGTTTCCATGGCGCACCGAGGGCCCTTGGGAACTGGGGTGCTCTGGGGCTAGGAGGCAGGTGGACTCTGGGGCGGTGTGACCATTGGGGGCCCTCAGCTCACTCAACAGGTCGGCTGCCCGACCTGCACAGACTTTACCTTAGCTTGTAAGTGTGCCAGCGCGTGTCACCAGCCGGGAGCCCGCCTGCGTCCCCAGGGCCTGGCCTGGACGGTGTCTGGGGAAGGGGCCGGCTGTGGGGGAGCCCCATGGGATGGAGGCAGGGTGCTGCGCCGCCTTCCCTGGGGAGGTGGCAGGTGCTGTTCCCTGCCCGGAAGCCTGGGTGGGGCGCCGAGCCCTCCACTCTGGTCTGCTGTTCGTCCTGCTGCTCCCTGAAGTGCAGAGCTGCGGGGGGAGGTGGCTGGTGACCGCCGGGTTGGGAAGAGGGCGCTGCCCGTGGCGGGAAGAGGGACCCGACTCCGGAGGCCAGGATGGGCTGTGTGGGCTGGGTTATGGAGGCCAGGACGGGCTGTGTGGGGTGGTTAGTGGGGGCCAGGACGGGCTGTGTGGGGTGGGTCGTGGGGGCCAGGACGGGCTGTGTGGGGTGTGTCGTGGGGGCCAGGACGGGCTGTGTGTGGTGGGTATGAAGGCCAGGACGGGCTGTGTGGGGTGGTTAGTGGGGGCCAGGATGGGCTGTGTGGGGTGTGTCGTGGGGGCCAGGACGGGCTGTGTGTGGTGGGTATGAAGGCCAGGACGGGCTGTGTGGGGTGGGTCGCGGAGGCCAGGCCGGGCTGTGTGGGGTGGGTTGCGGGGGCCAGGACGGGCTGTGTGGGGTGGGTCGTGGGGGCCAGGATGGGCTGTGTGGGGTGGGTCGTGGGGGCCAGGATGGGCTGTTTGGGGTGGGTCGCGGGGGCCAGGACGGGCTGTGTGGGGTGGGTCGCGGGGGCCAGGACGGGCTGAGTGGGGTGGGTTGCCTGCTCCCAGTCGCCTGCTGGCCTGCGTGTCCCAGCCCAGTGCTGAGATGCACTCTGCCGCCTTGTTGGTCTGGCAGACGGCGGGCACGCTGGGACAGCAGGGTCGGCCGAGCGCGGGGAGCCGGCGTCCAAGGGGCCTGCTCGCGTCCTCGCGTTCGCGTTTCAGCGTCTGCAGGAATCCTCGCTGCCCACAGTCCCTGCTCAGGGTTCCGAGGGCGGGGCCCGGTGAGGCTGTGCCGGGAACGGGCACGCAGGTGCCTGGGGCATCCTGCCTGTGCCGAGGACCGCGGCCGTGGCTCTCAGGACTTGGTGTGCACTGGAGACTGGGTTAATCCGTAGCCAACTTGGTGCAGATTGGGCTGTAGCTTCATTCCCGAGGAGGCTGGCGTTAGCGTGGGGCCGTCCTGGTGCGTGTCCTGGAGCAGGTCTCAGAGTAAAGGACTCCTGACGGCCGAGCAGCGACCCGTCCCCCTGCACGCCACGTGCTGACCAGGGCCGAGCAGCGACCCGTCCCCCTGCACGCCACGTGCTGTCCAGGGCCGAGCAGTGACCCGTCCCCCCGCCCACCACGTGCTGACCAGGGCCGAGCAGCGACCCGTCCCCCCGCACGCCACGTGCTGACCAGGGCCGAGCAGCGACCCGTCCCCCCGCCCACCACGTGCTGACCAGGGCCGAGCAGTGACCCGTCCCCCCGCCCACCACGTGCTGACCAGGGCCGAGCAGTGACCCGTCCCCCCGCACGCCACGTGCTGACGGCCGAGCAGTGACCCGTCCCCCCCACACGCCACGTGCTGACGTCCGAGCAGTGACCTGTCCCCGCGCACACCACGTGCTGACCAGGGCCGAGCAGTGACCCGTCCCCCCGCACGCCACGTGCTGACGGCCGAGCAGCGACCCGTCCCCCCGCACACCACGTGCTGACGGCCGAGCAGTGACCCGTCCCCCCCACACGCCACGTGCTGACGTCCGAGCATTGACCCGTCCCCCCGCACACCACGTGCTGACCAGGGCCGAGCAGTGACCCGTCCCCCCGCACGCCACGTGCTGACCAGGGCCGAGCAGTGACCCGTCCCCCCGCACGCCACGTGCTGACCAGAGCCGAGCAGTGACCCGTCCCCCCGCACGCCACGTGCTGACCAGGGCCGAGCAGTGACCCGTCCCCCCGCATGCCACGTGCTGACCAGGGCCGAGCAGTGACCCGTCCCCCCGCACGCCACGTGCTGACCAGGGCCGAGCAGTGACCCGTCCCCCCGCACGCCACGTGCTGACCAGGGCCGAGCAGTGACCCGTCCCCCCACCGCCACGTGCTGTCCAGGGCCGAGCAGTGACCCGTCCCTCCCCCCGCACGCCACGTGCTGACCAGGGCCGAGCAGTGACCCGTCCCCCCGCACGCCACGTGCTGTCCAGGGCCGAGCAGCGACCCGTCCCCCCGCACGCCACGTGCTGACCAGGGCCGAGCAGTGACCCGTCCCCCCACCGCCACGTGCTGACCAGGGCCGAGCAGTGACCCGTCCCCCCGCACGCCACGTGCTGACCAGGGCCGAGCAGCGACCCGTCCCCCCGCACGCCACGTGCTGACCAGGGCCGAGCAGTGACCCGTCCCCCCACCGCCACGTGCTGTCCAGGGCCGAGCAGTGACCCGTCCCTCCCCCCCACGCCACGTGCTGACGGCCGAGCAGCAACCCGTCCCCCCGCACGCCACGTGCTGACCAGGGCCGAGCAGTGACCCGTCACCCCGCATGCCACGTGCTGACCAGGGCCGAGCAGCGACCCGTCCCCCCGCACGCCACGTGCTGACCAGGGCCGAGCAGTGACCCGTCCCCCCGCACGCCACGTGCTGACCAGGGCCGAGCAGTGACCCGTCCCCCCACCGCCACGTGCTGACGGCCGAGCAGTGACCCGTCCCTCCCCCCCACGCCACGCGCTGATGGCCGAGCAGCGACCCGTCCCCCCGCACGCCACGTGCTGACCAGGGCCGAGCAGTGACCCGTCCCCCCGCACGCCACGTGCTGACCAGGGCCGAGCAGCGACCCGTCCCCCCGCACGCCACGTGCTGACCAGGGCCGAGCAGTGACCCGTCCACGCGCACACCACGTGCTGACCAGGGCCGAGCAGTGACCCGTCCCCCCGCACGCCACGTGCTGACCAGGGCCGAGCAGTGACCCGTCCCCCCGCACGCCACGTGCTGACCAGGGCCGAGCAGCGACCCGTCCCCCCGCACGCCACGTGCTGACCAGGGCCGAGCAGTGACCCGTCCCCCCACCGCCACGTGCTGACGGCCGAGCAGTGACCCGTCCCTCCCCCCCACGCCACGTGCTGATGGCCGAGCAGTGACCCGTCCCCCCCGCACGCCACGTGCTGTCCAGGGCCGAGCAGTGACCCGTCACCCCGCATGCCACGTGCTGACCAGGGCCGAGCAGTGACCCGTCCCCCCGCACGCCACGTGCTGACCAGGGCCGAGCAGTGACCCGTCCCCCCCGCATGCCACGTGCTGACCAGAGCCGAGCAGCAGCCTGTCCCCCCGCACGCCACGTGCTGACCAGGGCCGAGCAGTGACCCGTCCCCCCGCACGCCACGTGCTGACCAGGGCCGAGCAGTGACCCGTCCCCCCACCGCCACGTGCTGACGGCCGAGCAGTGACCCGTCCCCCCACCGCCACGTGCTGACCAGGGCCGAGCAGTGACCCGTCCCCCCACCGCCACGTGCTGACCAGAGCCGAGCAGCGACCCGTCCCCCCCGCACGCCACGTGCTGACCAGAGCCGAGCATTGACCCGTCCCCCCGCACGCCACGTGCTGACCAGGGCCGAGCAGCGACCCGTCCCCCCGCACGCCACGTGCTGACCAGGGCCGAGCAGTGACCCGTCCCCCCGCACGCCACGTGCTGACCAGGGCCGAGCAGCGACCCGTCCCCCCGCACGCCACGTGCTGACCAGGGCGGAGCAGTGACCCGTCCCCCCGCACGCCACGTGCTGTCCAGGGCCGAGCAGTGACCCGTCCCCCTGCACGCCACGTGCTGTCCAGGGCCGAGCAGTGACCCGTCCCCCTGCACGCCACGTGCTGTCCAGGGCCGAGCAGTGACCCGTCCCCCTGCACGCCACGTGCTGTCCAGGGCCGAGCAGCGACCCGTCCCCCCGCACACCACGTGCTGACGGCCGAGCAGTGACCCGTCCCCGCGCACACCACGTGCTGACCAGGGCCGAGCAGCGACCCGTCCCCCCGCACGCCTCGCAGCCTGGTGGTTGCTGTTGGGTCTCATCAGGAACGAGCGCTCCTTGCACCCGCTGTACGGATTTCACAGTGCCCTGCCACGTTGGAAGCTCTGGTCTGAGAGGCCCGGGCCGGGGCGGGGGAAGCAGGAGCTCACCAGCTAAGACTGGTTTTAGTGGTGATGGCGTGTGCAGGTTGTGTGCGGGGCGGGTGGTGAGGGAACAGAAGTGTAGGCGTAGTGAGTAGGGCAGCGGGAGAGGAGGGACTGCTGGCTGCAGTGTTGGAAACACGGGCCGAGAGGGCCCTTTTCTGTCCGAACCTGCCCCCTCCGCGGCGCCGAGTGCCTCTCGTGTGATGCCGGGCGGTCAGTCCTTCCTGTCCTCGGGCCGTGGGGCTCCAGGGCTCCTTACCCGAGTCCGAGTGCCTGGGCGGCGGCAGGGGCCTCGGGGTCAGGCCAGTGTCCCTCTGGCCTCTCCCCAGCACCTTTTCCGGGAGTGTGCAGTGTGGGTGTGTGTGTCCTGTCGTGACGCCCTGTGGGAGTGTGCAGCGTGGGTGGTGTGTGTGTCCCGTCGTGACGCCCTGTGGGAGTGTGCAGTGTGTGTGTGTGTGTGTGTGTCCCGTCGTGACGCCCTGTGGGAGTGTGCAGTGTGTGTGTGTGTGTCCCGTTGTGACGCCCTGTGGGAGTGTGCAGTGTGGGTGTGTGTGTGTCCCGTCGTGACGCCCTGTGAGAGTGTGCAGTGTGGGTGTGTGTGTCCCGTCGTGACGCCCTGTGGGAGTGTGCAGTGTGGGTGTGTGTGGTGCCGTGACGCCCTGTGGGAGTGTGCAGTGTGGGTGTGTGTGTCCTGCCGTGACGCCCTGTGGGAGTGTGCAGTGTGGGTGTGTGTGATGCCGTGACGCCCTGTGGGAGTGTGCAGTGTGTGTGTGTGTGTGTGTCCCATGTGACGCCCTGTGGGAGTGTGCAGTGTGGGTGTGTGTGTCCCGTCGTGACACCCTGTGGGAGTGTGCAGTGTGTGTGTGTGTCCCGTTGTGACACCCTGTGGGAGTGTGCAGTGTGGGGGTGTGTGTCCCGTTGTGACACCCTGTGGGAGTGTGCAGTGTGGGTGTGTGTGTCCCGTTGTGACGCCCTGTGGGAGTGTGCAGTGTGTGTGTGTGTGTGTGTGTCCCATTGTGACGCCCTGTGGGAGTGTGCAGTGTGGGTGTGTGTGTCCCGTTGTGACACCCTGTGGGAGTGTGCAGTGTGGGGGTGTGTGTGTCCCGTTGTGACACCCTGTGGGAGTTGCAGTGTGGGTGTGTGTCCTGCCGTGACACCCTGTGGGAGTGTGCAGTGTGGGTGGTGTGTGGTGTCGTGACGCCCTGTGGGAGTGTGCAGTGTGTGTGTGTGTCCCGTTGTGACACCCTGTGGGAGTTGCAGTGTGGGTGTGTGTGTGTCCCGTTGTGACACCCTGTGGGAGTGTGCAGTGTGGGTGTGTGTGTCCCGTTGTGACACCCTGTGGGAGTGTGCAGTGTGTGTGTGTGTCCCGTCGTGACACCCTGTGGGAGTTGCAGTGTGGGTGTGTGTGGTGTTGTGACACCCTGTGGGAGTGTGCAGTGTGGGTGTGTGTGGTGTTGTGACACCCTGTGGGAGTGTGCAGTGTGGGGGTGTGTGTGTGGTGCTGTGATGCCCTGTGGGAGTGTGCAGTGTGGGTGTGTGTCCCGTTGTGACGCCCTGTGGGAGTGTGCAGTGTGGGGGTGTGTGTGTCCCGTTGTGACGCCCTGTGGGAGTTGCAGTGTGTGTGTGTGTGTGTCCCGTTGTGACGCCCTGTGGGAGTGTGCAGTGTGGGTGTGTGTCCCGTCGTGACACCCTGTGGGAGTGTGCAGTGTGGGTGTGTGTGTGTCCCGTTGTGACGCCCTGTGGGAGTGTGCAGTGTGTGTGTGTCCTGCCGTGATGCCCTGTGGGAGTGTGCAGTGTGGGTGTGTGTCCCGTCGTGACGCCCTGTGGGAGTGTGCAGTGTGGGGGTGTGTGTCCTGCCGTGACGCCCTGTGGGAGTGTGCAGTGTGGGGGTGTGTGTCCTGCCGTGACGCCCTGTGGGAGTGTGCAGTGTGTGTGTGTGTGTCCTGCCGTGACGCCCTGTGGGAGTGTGCAGTGTGTGTGTGTGTGTCCCGTTGTGATGCCCTGTGGGAGTGTGCAGTGTGTGTGTGTGTGTCCCGTTGTGACGCCCTGTGGGAGTGTGCAGTGTGGGGGTGTGTGTCCTGCCGTGACGCCCCCTGGAAGTCTCCTTGCACCCTGCGCCCTCCCCGGGCGTGGATCGAGAGCACTTGCCTGCCGCGTGGTCTTGTGTCCCCACAGCCGTGTTAGCGCTTGAGGGCCTGGCGGTTCTGCCTGGACTGTCTGAGGTCTGACAGCTCTCACGTGGCCCGAGCACACGGGGAGTGAGGCATGTCTGCTGGGAGGGGTCTGATGGCCTCTCCTTGTCCCGTAGGTGATCAGGGTGACTGGTTTCCTGAAGGGCCTCTACACAGACGCCGAGATGAAGTCTGAGAACGTTAAGGTGGGTGTGGGAGGCGGCATGCTCACTGCGGGGCTCCCTGTCACGTGTGTGCGTGTGCTCACTCGCTCCTCTGTCACGTGTGTGCGTGTGCTCACTCGCTCCTCTGTCACGTGTGTGTCCTCACTGAGTTCCTCTGTCATGTGTGTGCGTGTCCTCACCGTGCTGCTCTGTCACGTGTGTGCGTGTCCTCACTGCGCTCCTGTCTGTCACGTGTGTGCGTGTCCTCACTGCGCTCCTGTCTCACATGTGTGCGTGTCCTCACTGCGCTCCTGTCTGTCACGTGTGCGTGTCCTCACTGCGCTCCTGTCTGTCACGTGTGTGCGTGTCCTCACTGCGCTCCTCTCTGTCACGTGTGTGCGTGTCCTCACTGCGCTCCTGTCTGTCACGTGTGTGCGTGTCCTCACTGCGCTCCTGTCTGTCACGTGTGTGCGTGTCCTCACTGCGCTCCTGTCTGTCACATGTGTGCGTGTCCTCACTGCGCTCCTGTCTCACATGTGTGCGTGTCCTCACTGCGCTCCTGTCTGTCATGTGTGTGCATGTCCTCACTGCGCTCCTGTCTGTCACGTGTGTGCGTGTCCTCACTGCGCTCCTGTCTGTCACGTGTGTGCGTGTCCTCACTGCGCTCCTGTCTCACATGTGTGCGTGTCCTCACTGCGCTCCTGTCTGTCACGTGTGTGCGTGTCCTCACTGCGCTCCTGTCTGTCACGTGTGTGCGTGTCCTCACTGCGCTCCTGTCTCACATGTGTGCGTGTCCTCACTGCGCTCCTGTCTGTCATGTGTGTGCGTGTCCTCACTGCGCTCCTGTCATGTGTGTGCGTGTCCTCACTGCGCTCCTCTCTGTCACGTGTGTGCATGTCCTCACTGCGCTCCTCTCTGTCACGTGTGTGCGTGTCCTCACTGCGCTCCTGTCTGTCACGTGTGTGCGTGTCCTCACTGCGCTCCTGTCTGTCACGTGTGTGCGTGTCCTCACTGCGCTCCTGTCTGTCACGTGTGTGCGTGTCCTCACTGCGCTCCTCTCTGTCACGTGCATTCATGTGTCATTTGTATGCTAGGACATGGTTGGAATTTGTTTATTTTGCAAGAACCACAGAGAGAGAGGGAGAGACAGGGAGATCTTCCATCCGCTGGTTCACTCCCTTGATGGCCAGAGTGACCGCTTTGGGCCAGGCTGAAGCCAGGAGCAAGGAGCTTCACGTGGGTCTCCCAGCGGGTGCAGGGCCCATATACTTGGGCCGTCTTCTCTGCCTTCCCAGGCCACAGCAGATTCTGGATCAGCAGTGGAGCAGCCGGGACTTGGAGTGGTGCCTCCTGGGATGCGGCGTCTGGCGGCAGCTTTGCCCGTGAAGCCACGCCGCCAGCCCCGTGCGTGCCCTCTTTCATTCCATTTCTCCTTTGTGGCAGTTGTGTGTCACGCTGATTCTGTCTGCTGGAAAGTGGAATTTATTATTTGAAAGGTTAATGCTACCCCTTGGTTAGATAGATGATGGACTGTTTATATTTTGTTTTAAAAGATATTTCTAAATTTGTTATAGCCTAAGAATAGCTTTTATGTAAAAATAGCTGTATCCGTTGAACACATGAAGATAATGCAAGCTCTTAGAAGTATTTTAATATCTGTATTTTAGGCCGGCACCGCGGCTCAATAGGCTAATCCTCCACCTGCGGCGCTGGCATCCTGGGTTCTGCTCCCAGTCAGGGCACCGGATTCTGTCCCGGTTGCCCCTCTTCCAGGCCAGCCCTCTGCTGTGGCCCGGGAGTGCAGTGGAGGATGGCCCAAGTGCTTGGGCCCTGCACCCCATGGGAGACCAGGAGAAGCACCTGGCTCCTGGCTCCTGCCATCGGATCAGCGCGGTGCGCCGGCCGCAGCGCGCCAGCCGCGGCGGCCATTGGAGGGTGAACCAACGGAAAAGGAAGACCTTTCTCTCTGTCTCTCTCTCTCACTGTCCACTCTGCCTGTCAAAAAAGAAAAAAGTATTTTAATATCTGTGTTTTAATTGGAAACATTTCAGGATAAAGATGCGAAAATTAGCTTCCTACAGAAGGCCATAGACGTGGTGGTGATGGTTTCGGGAGAGCCGCTGCTGGTGAAGCCAGCCCGGATCGTGGCCGGGCACGAGCCCGAGAGAACCAACGAGCTGCTTCAGATGATCGGGAAGTGCTGTCTCAGCAAGGTGGGGCGGGTCCCGGGGACCGGGCCGCGGGCCGCGCTGGGGAAGGGGTTGGTGTGTCCGGTATCCGCGCGCTTTGCGTCTGCCCCCGTCTGCCCTGGAGCCTCTGTCAGAGGTTACAGGAGAGGATTAGAGCTGTAACAAAGCAAGGGCATGTCATGCGCAGGGCGCTTCCCAGGCCCTCTGCTCTCGGGCCGTGGCTGGAGGCTGCTTGTCCCGCGTCTGCTCCTCTTCGTCACGGCCCCTGAGAGGCCCTGGTCTCTGTTCAGCCGCTGGGCCTGCCTCCCGGTCGCTGCCTGAGAAGCTAGCCTGTGCAGAGTCCGTGTGGTGCAGGGCATGGAGTGGCTCCTCTGAGCTCTGCCGAGCGGGCCCAGGCCTCTCTGGGCAGGTGGGAGGAGGGCTCCTTCAGGACCGGCCTTTGTCCTTTTCCTGTGTGATGGTGTGGGGTGTGGGGTGGTGGTGTTGGGCCGTCACTTGGGTCCTAAAGAAAGCCGTGGCCGAGGTCCAGCGCTCAGACCCGGAGACTCGGAGGCTGATTTTCCCAGACTCTGGCCTTGGTCCCTCGCCTCCCATTCCTGGCATCTTTGTGTTGCTTCTCTTTCTAAAAAGCAGATCTGTCATCATCTTCTTTTTGCAAAGATGTATTTTATTTATTGTGAGAGAGTTTCAGAGAGAGCTTAATCTTCCATCCATTGGTTTACTCTCTAGAAGGCTGCACGGCCCGTGCTGGGCCAGGCCAGAGCCAGGAGCTTTTTCCATTTCCAGAGGAAGTTTTTTTTTTTTTTTTTTTTTTTTTTTTTTTTTTTTTTGATAGGCAGAGTGGACAGAGAGAGAGAGAGAGAGAAAGGTCTTCCTTTGCCGTTGGTTCACCCTCCAATGGCCGCCGCGGTTGGTGTGCTGAGGCCGGCGCACCGTGCTGATCTGATGGCAGGAACCAGGTACTTCTCCTGGTCTCCCATGGGGTGCAGGGCCCAAGCACTTGGGCCATCCTCCACTGCACTCCCGGGCCACAGCAGAGAGCTGGCCTGGAAGAGGGGCAACCGGGACAGAATCCGGCGCCCCAACCGGGACTAGAACCCGGTATGCCGGCGCCGCAAGGTGGAGGATTAGCCTAGTGAGCTGCGGCGCCGGCCCAGAGGTAGTTTTGTATTTGGTGGGGCCTGAATCATATCCTATCTTTTTTTCTTCCCGTATTTTTAGAAAAAGACTATTTATTTGAAAGAGAGAGGGGAGAAGAGGGGGAGGGGGTGAGAGAGAGGTAAGGAGAGAAAGATCACTTCTCAAATGCCTGCAACAGCCAGGGCTGGGCCAGGCTGAAACCAGCCCAGAACTCAATCCAGGTCTTCCATGAGTACAGCCCCCCCAGGGTGCTCCTTACAGGGAGCTGGAATCTGGAATAGAGCTGGGACTTGAATCCCGACATCCTGACACGGGTGCATGTCCCAGTGCTGTCTCCTGACACGGGTGCATGTCCCAGTGCTGTCTCCTCCTGACACGGGTGCATGTCCCAGTGCTGTCTCCTCCTGACACGGGTGCATGTCCCAGTGCTGTCTCCTCCTGACACGGGTGCATGTCCCAGTGCTGTCTCCTCCTGACACGGGTGCATGCCCCAGTGCTGTCTCCTGACACGGGTGCAGCCCCAGTGCTGTCTCCTACAGGGTGCATGTCCCAGTGCTGTCCCTCCTGACACGGTGCAGGTCCCAGTGTTGTCTCCTCCTGACACGGGTGCGTGTCCCAGTGCTGTCTCCTCCTGACACGGGTGCATGTCCCAGTGCTGTCTCCTCCTGACACGGGTGCATGTCCCAGTGCTGTCTCCTGACACGGGTGCATGTCCCAGTGCTGTCTCCTCCTGACACGGGTGCATGTCCCAGTGCTGTCTCCTGACACGGGTGCATGTCCCAGTGCTGTCTCCTCCTGACACGGGTGCATGTCCCAGTGCTGTCTCCTGACACGGGTGCATGTCCCAGTGCTGTCTCCTCCTGACACGGGTGCATGTCCCAGTGCTGTCTCCTCCTGACACGGGTGCGTGTCCCAGTGCTGTCTCCTCCTGACACGGGTGCATGTCCCAGTGCTGTCTCCTCCTGACACGGGTGCATGTCCCAGTGCTGTCTCCTCCTGACACGGGTGCATGCCCCAGTGCTGTCTCCTCCTGACACGGGTGCATGTCCCAGTGCTGTCTCCTGACACGGGTGCATGTCCCAGTGCTGTCTCCTCCTGACACGGGTGCATGTCCCAGTGCTTCCTCCTGACAAGGCTGCATGTCCCAGTGCTGTCTCCTCCTGACACGGGTGCATGTCCCAGTGCTGTCTCCTCCTGACACGGGTGCATGTCCCAGTGCTGTCTCCTCCTGACACGGGTGCATGTCCCAGTGCTGTCTCCTCCTGACACGGGTGCGTGTCCCAGTGCTGTCTCCTCCTGACACGGGTGCATGTCCCAGTGCTGTCTCCTGACACGGGTGCATGTCCCAGGTGGGGTCTCGTCTGCTGTCCCGAATGCCAGTGCCCTGATTTTTACTGTGTGAGAACCCACCTAACATAGACTTTGCCGTGTCCCCTGTTTTCCACAGGGAGCTTGGTGGTAACTCATTGGCAGTGTGCATCCGCTGCTGCCATCCTGCCACAGGGTTCCAAATCATGCAGAGCCGAGATGCTTCACCCGTTGGCCCTCCCCCGCCCTGTGCCCACCTTTGTTCTGTCTCCTTGAATTTGACTCACAGGGACCTCCAGGGACATGAGTGGAATCATCCGGTGTTTGTTCTTTTGTGCCTGGCATGGAAACTTAGCATAATGTCTTCAGGGTTCATCCCTGTTATAGCATGGGTCAGTTCCCCCCTTTTAGTGTACAATTCTCACAGTGTGGAATAGTATGCCAGCAGTGTGGACACACCACAGCCCCTGGGCAGGTGTGCCCGCGGTGTGTACACACCACAGCCCCTGTGCTGGTGTGCCCACAGTGTGTACGCACCACAGCCCCTGGGCAGGTGTGCTCGCGGTGTGTACACATCACAGCCCCTGGGCAGGTGTGCCCACAGTGTGTACGCACCACAGCCCCTGGGCAGGTGTGCTCGCGGTGTGTACACACCACAGCCCCTGGGCAGGTGTGCCCGTGGTGTGTACGCACCACAGCCCCTGGGCAGGTGTGCCAGCAGTGTGTATGTACCACAGCCCCTGGGCTGGTGTGCCCACAGTGTGTACACATCACAGCCCCTGGGCAGGTGTGCCCACAGTATGTATGTACCACCTGCTGCTGCTCATTCTCCTGTTGGACTTGTGATTAGCTTCCATATCTTAGTTCTTTTGTGTAGTGCTGGCGTGAACACAGATGTGTGCATGCCTCTGTGAGGCCCTCTTCACCCCTTTCAGGTTTATACCTGAAGAGGAATGGCCGGGTCACATGGTACGTCTGTGTTTGGTGTCCTGGGGCTCACCGCTGTTTTCCACAGTGGCTACACCATTTTTCAGTTTGCACCAGCAGTGTTCTAGGGTCCAGTTCTCTACATCCTTGCCAACACTTGTTATTTTCTCTTTTTCTTTCTGTACCAGCTGTGCTAATGGGCGTGGTGGTTAGAGCACTGTGTCCCGGCTCTCTGGGCTGGGACTCTGGTTGCCCTAGACTTGTACGGAAGCAGCCTTCCCTTCCTTCTGGGGGCACTCGTCCATGTGAATGAAGCCAGGGCTCCTCTGCTGTCAGGGCTGGCATGGTCCTGCGAGGTGCTGTGCTTTGGCTGTGAGAACAGCACTTGCTTTCACGAGTTACCCTGTTCGTGCCCGTGGCGGCAGACGCCTGCTCATTGAGCTCTCCCTGAATGCCGAGCCCCTCGTTTGCTACATGTGCTCATTTCACCTTTTGTTTTCTGACATGTGGACACACCAGCTCTCCAGTGAGGACGCAGTGAAGAGAGTTCTGTCTGGGGAGAAGGGGGATGTGAAGGGAAGGGTCTCCCTGACCTCACGGCCTCAGGAGTCGGACAATAAGCATGTGAGAGAAGAGGAGCCCAGAGGCCACAAGGAGAAAGAGGTGAGTCGCGAGTCGCGCACTTGGAAGTAAGATCGCCTCTCTGTAGTTTGGGGAAAGCCTCGTAAATGAGATATATGTTCTTTTTTAGGACAGAAGAAACTCTGAAATAAAAGAGAGAAGCCCAAGCAGAGATCGAAAACAGAAAGAAGAATTAAAAGAAGACAGCAAACCGAGGGAAAAGGACAAGGAGCAAGAGAAGCCCAGAGAGCCCGAGAGAGACGGGCGCAGAGAGCCCGAGAGAGACGGGCGCAGAGAGCCCGAGAGAGACCGGCGCAGAGACGGGGAGCGAGAGAAGGCCAGGGCCAGGGCCAGGCAGGAGCGGGACAGAGACGCCGAGCGGGACAGGGAGCGGAGGAGCGAGGCAGCGAGGGAAAAGGAGAGACTCAGGGGCAGGGACCGGGACAAGGGGAAGGACAGGGACCAGCGGAGGGTGAGGAACGGGGAGCACTCCAGGGACCCCAACCGGGAGAAGAGCCGAGAGCAGGATAAGCTGGAGAAGAAGGTGAGATCTGCTTGCAGACCCCTCCCCTCTCTCTGCTGTGTTCTCTGCCGTGCGTCCTGGCCTGGTGCTGGGACCTGGTGTTCAGTTTCGCCAGCTGGGAACGTGGCAGTCATGACCTCCGACGGAGGTGCAGACATGCGACAGTGTTGTTGTCTCTGTCCCCGGCTGGTGGTTGTCTAATCGTTTCATTGAGGCATGAGTCAGTAAGCTGTTGTCGGAGTCCCAAGGCCGAGGCTGGCCGCTGACCAGCAGGGGCAGTACAGGCACTCCCCAGCAAGGCAAACGGGAGGGGTGAGGTCGGTGGGTCAAGAACACACCACAGCACCGTGAGTTCTGTGGAAGCAGGACCCGCCCTATTGAGGAAGCGTGCAGGCTTGTAAAGCTTACGGAGGACATGCGCGGTAGGGAGCCAGAGGAAAGGTCACGCAGGCACGGCGGACCACACACGGGCACCTTAAGCAAAGTATAGGGATCGCGCACTGTCCACGTGTCCGGAACCAAAGTGGACCTATCCCTGCCGGTGGTCTGATCTTATGTAGCTTAACCGCGGCAGCCGCAGACACGCCCCTCGAACATCCGAACATCCGCCAGGCGCCATGTGGTAGTGGAGGTTTTAGGCAATGCCCACCAAGCTTTCAGCTCTACCTCACACCCAGCAGGGATTCTGCAGGAAGCCGAGCTCCGTAAGAGCCTCAGCCGGCGGCTTCTTTGTCTTGTGTGTGCTTTGGGTCCCAGCCTGGTGAGTGTCTGGCCCACGGGCGCCCCGGGAGTCCAGGCGTGGGATGACGATGGACTTTCGGATCAGGAAGCGCTGGGTGGAGGTGGCCGCTTGGTGGCGGCTGTGAGATGTGTGTATGGAAGGTCCATCCCGGGGGACTGGGCGGTGCTGGGAGGAGGAAGTCCTCCGGTGCTTGCAGCTTAGAGTTCGGTGATCGTCCACCAGACGTGTAGACAGAGCCGCATTTTTCTGAGTTTGAGGTCGTTTGCCCACGTTTCCCCGTGTTTGTCCTGCATCTAGCCCCTTGGGAGTTTGTCCGCAGGCCACGAGGCAGCGTGCACCTTAGCTTCGTGAGCCACGCTGACTCCTGGTCTCCGTTGTGTGCCGCTGTCGTTGGGAGCACGGGTGTCACTGAGCTCTCCAGGGATTGTCTTGGAAGGCTTCGAGGCGTCAGCAGAGAAGTGCATATGTCTACAGTAGTTCTTATTTCGTTAGATTTTCGAGTAAATTCAGGTTTGCCTAGAAGGTTCTTTTGGTTTCCAGCGGTGTTTTCCAGACATGCAGGTTTCTTTTAGACTCATTGTTTAGGAGAGGAATTCAAACGTTTTATGGAAAAACACAATTAAAAGATACTTTCAGAATTTTTGGTCCCTAAATAGATGTATCTCTAAGTCCATTTTCATGAATGACTTGAAGCACCCATGAGCGGCAGGGCTGTTTTCTCAGACGCCCACTCAGGCAGGGACGCGGCCTCGTCAAGCCTCGTGGGAGGGCGGTGGCCCCTCCTGGGCTCCCCTGGCTGGAATGGAGGAAGGGTTTGAGACCTGTGGTGCAGGTGGGCCAAGGGCAAGGGCAGGGCGTGGCCGGCGCCGCGGCTCACTAGGCTAGTCCTCTGCCTGCGGCGCCGGCACCCCAGGTTCTAGTCCCGGTCGGGGTGCTGGATTCTGTCCCAGTTGCCCCTCTTCCAGGCCAGCTCTCTGCTGTGGCCCGGGAGTGCAGTGGAGGATGGCCCAGGTGCTTGGGCCCCGCACCCCATGGGAGACCAGGAGAAGCACCTGGCTCCTGCCTTCGGATCAGCGTGGTCCACCAGCCGCAGTGCGCCGGCTGCAGTGGCCATTGGAGGGTGAACCAACAGCAAAAGGAAGACCTTTCTCTCTGTCTCTCTCTCTCACTGTCCACTCTGCCTGTCAAAAAAAGGGGGGGGGGCAAGGCGTGAGCTGACCGAGGCCCTCTCCTGCCAGGCGTCTCAGCCGTGTCTGGGGGCTGACCCCGTGGGAATCCCGTCAGCTGGCCTTCTCTGCGGGGTCTCTGGGTCACAGCGAGAGGGGGTGCTGTCTGCACAGACTGCTGTGGCTTTGTCCGTGGCGGGTGTAGTGCTGTGCTGGGAGCCTCAGGCTGCGCGTCTTCCTGCTTGGGCACGTGCTGAGAGCGCTCCCCCCGGGTCGCGTGGCGAAGCCTGCTCTGCCGGTGAGTTCTGGACGTCACAGAGACTCCCGGCCTTCGCCTCTCCTGAGAGCCCCGAGATGCTGACTGACAGCCCCGATGGGCTCTGGGGCTGCTGGCCGGGCTCCGTGCTACCTTCACCTTCACTGAAGTTGCCGAGGCTGGGACTTGTGTTCTAGTTAAGAGGAGGGTCCAAGGAGAACGTCTTACTGGCTGGTGTCTGGGGATGTGTTAGACTGCGTAGGAGGGATGGTTTTGTTTGAAAATATTTGGGACGTGGCAGAGTGACTGTTTCCCCGTCAGCACGCAAGTCGGGTTTCTGTCTCCTGGTGACTCCGGCTGGGGCCCTGCACAGCTGTGCGTCTGAAGTGGCAGCATCGTCGCAGCACAGAGCGAGCACTGTGCAGGTGTGAGGGGCTGCGAGACCCTCCCCGGCCCCAGTGCGAGTGTCGTGTCAGGTCAGGTCCCGCCTGGGGAGGCAGCAGACCAAGTTCTGACCCGCACTCTGCTGTGTCCACCTCCCTGTCTGGAAGAGAGGAGGAGGAGCTGTTCTGAGGAGGTGGAGTGGTGGGGTAGCGGGTGGCACGGAGCCCATCTGCACGTCCCCACCCTTGACAGAGCAGCCGAAGGTGTCAGAGATCTGGGGCAGGTGCGTGGTGCCCGACCTACAGCGGGTAATTCCTGCTGATACAATCTTGTGTGCTCATCTTTAACTTACAGGGATGTTTCATTATTGAGAGATTGAATAGGTATTCTTTGCTTTGTAGTCTTTATGGAGGAAAATTTTGTTGATAATATGTTCTGTTTATGATCATGATTTTATTTTTAGAGGATTTTATTCATTTATTTGAAACTCAGTTACAGAGGGAAAGAAAGACAGTGAGAGTGAGACAGAGAGAGAGACTGGGAGAGAGATCAAGAGATCTTGCATCTGCTGGTTCACTCCCCAGATGGCCACAATGGTCAGGACTGGCCCAGGCCAAAGCCAGGAGCCAGGAGCTTCTTCTGGGTCTCCCATGTGGGTGGCGAGGGCCCAAGCACTTGGGGCATCTTCTGCTGCTTTCCCAGGCCGTTGGATCAGACTCGAATTGGCACCCATAAAGGATGCTGGCTTCTCAGGTGCCAGCCTTAACTGCTACACCACAGCACCAGCCCCGGGATGTTTTCTTAGAGACTTGGTCTAAGGTGTGAGTTGGTATTGATGGATTCCACGTATGTATGAGAGTGCTTTCCTGACCTAATGTCTGAAGTGTTTGCGTAAAAAGAATCAGCCAATCCCAGCACATGACCTGATGTTTCCCTGTGAGCACAGGACGGGAGGGGCCGCTCCATCCTAACTGGCCCTGTGAGCACAGGACGGGAGGGGCCGCTCCATCCTAACTGGCCCTGTGAGCACAGGACGGGAGGGGCCGCTCCATCCTAACTGGCCCTGTGAGCACAGGAACAGTTTTCCTGGGGGTGTTGGGTGTGCTGTGCACTGCACGCCTCACCTCCATCCCCGTATTTCACCGGGGTGTGTTCCCAATGAGTTTGGCCCCACGTGGAGTTTTGTGTTCCAGATGGTGTCCCGGGAGGCGGGAGTGTTTTTGGTCCTTGTCCACCTGCTCTGCCTGTCTGGGATGAAACCTGCCCTCTGGAGGGCCCTGGGTCGCAGCGGCAGCAGCAGCGTGTCAGAGCTGGAGCAGGATGTGATGCTCTGTGGGAGGAAGGCCCTTGCTGTGGGCCGGTGAGCGAGGCCGGCGCTGTGGCATAGCAGGTAAAGCCACTGCCTGCGATGCCGGCATCCAGTGTGGGTGCCGGTTCATGTCCCAGCGGCTGCTCTTCTGATCCAGCTCCCTGCTGTGGCCTGGGAAAGCAGCGGAAGATGCCCAAGTGCTTGGGCCCTGCACCTGCGTGGGAGACCGGGAAGAAGCTCCTGGCCTGGCCCTGGCTGTTGTGGCCGTTTTGGGAGTGCACGAATCCATCTCTTCCTCTCTCTCTGCACCTCTGCCTTTCAAAAAAGAAAAAAAAAGCCTTGAGGCATTTTCAGATGTTACAGATGTGAATAATTCTAAAATGTGATTTTGTTTTGTAGTCAACAAGCTCCGGGGAAATATCTAAAAAGTTGTCAGACGGATCTTCTAAAGACCCCAAAGCCGAAACAGAGGTAGACGTTCAGGGACAGCAAGGGGGAAAGGGGGTTGTGGTGAGGGGAGTGCTGTGTGCTGGCAGGTCCACTTCTCTGTGTTGTCCCGGTAATGGCGTGGGGGTCACCGGCTGCCAAAACAGAAGGCCGATTATCTGCCGGCACTCCTGGGTGACTGCTGTTTTCTCTGAATCGGGCTGTTGAAGCATGGTGTGTGAACTCTTCCTGTGAGAGCTGTTTGCAGATGCATTTCAACAGTGTAACAGCCACGGGACCCTTTAACGCGATTTGCCCAGGGGCAGACTGCATATCCCGCAGTGGCCCTGTGAGGTTATTGTGCCGTCGTGGTTTGGGGAAGTCCCCTCCGCGGTGTTCACACCAGCACACCGCCTGGCTCTGGCGCCGTGTCCCTGTGAGGCGAAGTGCTCCTGCGCCTGCAGGGTGTGGTGCTGGAGCCTCTGGGAGCAGGGCTGAGGGCTCTGCAGAGAGAGTGCAGGGAGGGGTCCCACTCAGCCTCCAGTGCCTCCCTGCACCGTCGGAGGCCGGGGGGCGCCGGGGCTGTGTTTCAGGCTGCTGCTTCCCCGAGCAGAGCCTGAAGAAGCTCTGGGCTCACTGTGTAACCATCCGTTGATTTTCTTTCATTCTCTTTTCTTTAAGACTGAGGTTTCCACTCGAGCACCCAAGTCGTTGACATCAAAGCTGTCGAAACGGCAATCCAGAAATTCAGTGGAAGGTACGCTCGACTTGCTCTACTCGTGTGAGAAGCTAGAAATATGTCTAGCCCTGCCTCTGTCAACAGTCTAGCTGGAAGAAACTCCCATGGCTGGGGCGCGCATCGGCCACGTCTGGGAAGAAGCAGTGACCGTGGGAAGCATGGGGTTTGTGATTCACACGCACGTGCATGCGTGTGCACACATGTGCATGCTCACAACACTGGGGCGGAGTCAGCCCTCTTTGCTGGAAACGTGGGTGACTGGAGAAGGTGGGATCTAGCTTCATGGTCCAGAAACACCGGTGAGCCGTGCGGGGTTCCTTGGCCCCCATCTGTGGCAGCGGCAGCGGCAGGCTGTGGTCCATCAGGGCAGGCTGATGTGGGAGCTGGTAGGCAGATGATGTTTCTGCACAGACAGCGGAACCACACAGGGGGCACCGCACTGGGTCTCCGGGGAACACCCTCGGCCAACTGCAGCGTGCCGCTAATTTTCGGCTTGAGCGTTCTGGACAGGTGCGGGCCAACCTGCATAGCAGCTGGTACATAAAAAGACGTGAGAAAAGTTTGAGTGGTGGTGGCTTCTGGAAAGTCCTCCTCTCCCTCCCTGTGGTCTCTGTCGTGAAACACGCGTGCTGAGCTCACCGTGCGTGTGCCAGAAGCCCCTGCCCTGTGGGGCCCAGGCGGGCCTGGGAGCTTGCAGCCACTGGCTGTCCCTCTGCCTCGCGCCTCCTCCAGAGAGGAAACATGGAAAATTTAATCACTGGGGAAGTTGCGCATTTGCTCGCCTGTCTTCTTAGTTTTATTGGCTTCTCCGACCCTTCCTTTCCTTGGCTGACTCCCGCGCGCCTCTGTCTGGGGTCTCCGTACTCTTAATTTGCACACCCTCCCTGTACATTGTGGCTGCCAGTTTTAAAATGAGGGTTGTTTCTTTGTTTTTTTTTCAGTTCATTTCTGCTAATTATATTTGGTTTGGTTTCTGAGTCGCCTGCTTGTTTAATTTTTATGCACTTGAAGCTGCTAATTCTTTGGTGATGATTTGTCCAAGATTTGAGAGATGAAGAATTATGGGGTTTTACTCAGTCATCCTCTCCTTCCTTCCTGCTCTGTGAGGCCTCTGTGGTCTGGGAACTGTTGTTTATTTTTACTTCCTCTGTTTTCTGTTTACTACTTGTTTCCTATCCTTGTTCTTTTCAAAAAAAGTTTTAAGCCATTTTATTTAATAGAATATTCTCCCAGATGAATTTTAAAATCATTCCCAACTCAGAGTCCACTCACAGCAAGATAAACAAGGCAGAATGACAGAGATCAGTCTTCCACCCACTGCTTCACTCCCCAAATGGCCACGGTGGTTGGGGCTGAACTAGGTCAAAGCCGGGAACTGGCCACACCATCGGGGTCTCCCACCTGAGTGGCGGGGACCCACATATTGGAGCATCTTCCGCTGCTTTCCAGAGAGCCGGATAGGAAGTGGAGCAGCCAGGACTTGAGCTGGCACTCTGATGTGGGGTGCCGGCGTTGCGGTGGCAGATGTAACCCTCTGCGCCCTGGCCCGTCTCCTCAGGATGTAATTGAACTTGAGGTAAATGTGTGCTTTGTTAGCTTGAGAAACGGCTTCCTCTGACTTCAGGTTTGTAAGGGCATCTCGCCACTCCCGGGGCTGCGGCTTGTCTGTCAGGGCGACTGCTCCACAGTTCGTGTTTGGTCTTTTGGGAAACGGTGTTCTTCTTTCCCTCTTTATTTTATGATGAGCATTGTTGGCATGCAGCTGCTCTGTTGATTTTGTCACTGTACGTTGAGTCTGGCTGGTTGCTGGGTCGAATCCGCAGTCCTGGTGGCTGTGTGGGGTTTCCTAAGTGCTCATGTCACCTGCTCGTTTCTGGCCGCCCTGCAGGTTTGCCTCTGTGTCTGCGGGAGCATTTTATGTGATCTCAAAGGGATTTTTTGGAAAATGATTTAGAGGGAGAGAGAGAAATAGCAATAACGACAGAGAGATCCGTGTGCTGCTTCATTCTCCATATGCTCCTATCAGCCAGGCTGGGCAGGCCAAAGCCGGGAACCAGAGCCCCGCCCAGACCTCCCACACGGGTGCAGGGACCTGGGCACTTGGGCCGTCATTGGCTGCCTCGCAGGTGCATTAGCAGGAGCTGGATTTTGGAATTAAAGGAGCTGGGACTCGAGCCAGGACTCCTATGGGATGTGGCTGTCCCGAGGAGTGGCCTAACCATTGTGCCACTAGGCCCAGACCTTAAAGGGTTTTTATTATCAGAGATTGTGCAGGCTTAATGGCCTCAAGCTTTACTGAGTTGTTAGCTGCTTGGTGGACGTCCTTCCTTGCTAGCTGGCTGGGCGCTGACCTCACACGGGTTCCCCAGCAAAGCTGGTGCCCCACACAAACGGCCTCTCTCTCTGGCAGGTCAGCATCTGCACAGATGCCCAGTGCTCAGAGTGCCGGGGACAGGGACCCCTGTGTGTGTGCAGGGGATGAGCCTCGCGTACTGGAGAGTGTGGGACTGTCCCACCATGCACTGGGCGTCCTGAGAGCCACGCTTGAGTTTCCGTGGAACCCGGGAACATTCTGCTTGAGAATGACCCTCGGAGTTGATCACGTTTAGGTACTGAGCACCTTTTATTATTTTTTCTAAAAAAGATGTGTTCATTTGTTTGAAAGGCAGAGTTAGGAGAGACACAGTGAGAGGTTTTCTGTCCTCTGGTTCACTCCTCAAGTGGCTGCAGTGGCCAGGTCTGGGCCAGGCTGCTCCAGGAGGCTGGAACTCCGTTCCGGTCTCTCACTTGGGTGCCAGGGCCCAGGCACTTGGGCCATGTGTTGCTGTTTCCCAGGCACGGTAACCAGGAGCTGGATCGGACGTGGAGCAGAGAGGGCTTGAACCGGGGCTCCTGTTGGTGCTGGCCCCTACTGGGTGCATTTTAATTTCATGATTATGCAGCATTACAAATTAGGTTTAATCCATATTTTCATTGTGCAATTTGGTGTCAGGAAGAAAGGATTCTAGGACCAGTGAACACAGGCTTCTCCTCCCGCAGCAAAGCTGACAAGGGACGTCCCGTGGAGCAGCGTGGTGGGACTCAGTGAGCTGTGAGGAGGCTGGCGGGGACTGTGTGAGCTGGAACCTTCCTCTTCCTGGTCCTTGCTTCCAGTGGTCACTGAACAGTGGAGCTCCACCGTGTGGCCTGCTTGAGCTCTGGAGCCCTGTCCTCTGGCCGGAGAGGAGCAGGGGCAGGGGACATGTGGGCCCCTCCAGACGGAGCTTCAGGACTGCCCCAGCCAGGCTCGGGCGTCGTGCGCTGTCGGCCTCAGCCGAGAGTGTCCGTGTGCACCTTCCGTCCTGAGCTCTGCAGATGTTCATGCTGATGAGAGCGCGGGTGTGCAGGTGCACGTTACGTAGTGAGGAGTTAGGGTTAGGGTTAGGGGTTAGGGGTTAGGGTTAGGGTTAGGGGTTAGGGGTTAGGGTTAGGGGTTAGGGTTGGGGTTAGGGGTTAGGGGTTAGGGTTAAGGTTAGCGTTAGGGGTTAGGGTTAGGGTTCTGAAGGAAAGCGCAGTCCCGAGAAGCAGGGAGGAGGGGCGTGGGCAGGGAGGGTCTCTCTGAAGAGGACACTGGGACCAGGAGCTGACGGGTGCAGGGAGGCCTGGAGGTACAGAGACCCCGAGCCAGGGGCAGGCTTCCCTGTGTGTGTGTGGCAGGAAGTGCGGCTGGGCCCCTAGGCCGTGTGGGAGGTGTGAGCACAAGCCGTGGCGGTTCACGCGGGATTGTGGTGGGATCTGACTGCTGTAGGCCCAAGGGCGGCGAGGAACTGCTGTGATATCCAGAGGGCTCAGTACCAGCTCAGCCGACGCCCATGGTGGCACATGGCTGTGCCGGTGGATTTGATGTCCCCTGTGAGAGGGGAGGAATCAGGGATGCACTGTGTCTGGGAGGGGCTGGGGAGAGGCTCGCTCGTGGGACAGGTGCATAGAGTTGGGAATTCTGTTCTGGCCACCTTGAGTTTGAGGCGTCTGTCAAACCAAGTACAGGGGAGAGGTGTCGGCCTGGGGTCGGGGAGGGAGGTGGAGACACTGAGGGAAACGCTGTCTCCACAGTTCTTAGCTTGCAGGTGGAAGAGGAGGTGGTGAGTCGGGGCTGCCCGGGGTCGAGTGGGGCGGGGCAGGGTCCAGCAAGGAGGACGGAGGGTGGGTGAGCTGGCGGGGACGTGGGGAGGTGACAGGGCTCTTGTGGGACTCCTCTGAGAGTCAGGAGACCCGCTGACCTGGGACCTTGTCATAGCTCCGTAAATCCTAACTGAAGCAGCCCAACCCGAAAGCCTTGCGCCGTCTAATCTGTTGCTAACTGTTTTATGTTAGGAAGGAAGGAGGGTACAGTTTCAGCTAAGATGTTAGACCCCGGAGTGTCTGGGTTACGTAGTGAGCCCCGCCAGGAGACCGCAGCTTCAGAGGCAGGTAAGAGAAACGCCTTCTCCAGCTTGTGGACACGGACGCTGCACTGCAGCGTGGTGGGGTTCACAGACGTGGACGTGGACTACTACACCATAGCGTGGTGGGGTTCACAGACGTGGACGTGGACTACTACACCATAGCGTGGTGGGTTCACAGACGTGGACGTGGACTACCACACCATAGCGTGGTGGGGTTCATGGACGTGGACTACTATACCATAGCGTGGTGGGGTTCGTGGACGTGGACTACTACACCATAGCGTGGTGGGGTTCGTGGACGTGGACTACTACACCATAGCGTGGTGGGGTTCACAGACGTGGACGTGGACTACTACACCATAGCGTGGTGGGGTTCACAGACGTGGACGTGGACTACTACACCATAGCGTGGTGGGGTTCACAGATGTGGACGTGGACTACTACACCATAGCGTGGTGGGTTCACAGACGTGGACGTGGACTACCACACCATAGCGTGGTGGGGTTCATGGACGTGGACTACTACACCATAGCGTGGTGGGGTTCGTGGACGTGGACTACTACACCATAGCGTGGTGGGGTTCACAGACGTGGACGTGGACTACTACACCATAGCGTGGTGGGTTCACAGACGTGGACGTGGACTACTACACCATAGCGTGGTGGGGTTCACAGACGTGGACGTGGACTACTACACCATACCGTGGTGGGTCCATAGACGTGGACGTGGACTACTACACCATAGCGTGGTGGGGTTCACAGATGTGGACGTGCACCACTACACCATACCGTGGGGGGGTTCACAGACTTGGACGTGGACTACTACCCCATAGCGTGGTGGGGTTCATGGTACGTGGGACTTCCACACCATACCCTGGGGGGGTTCACAGGATCTGGACTTGGACTGCACCCCTTAACATGGTGAGATATACCTTGTGCTGCTATTAGTCACAAGGAACTATCGTACCATAATTGA